AAAGACTCTTGTAGCAACACGTGTAGTTCAATATATGTATCATAAAATACAAGCTGTAATCAATCAAATTTGATTTGATTACTTAATTAACTAACCTAATTAGATAATTATTTAAATGATTGTTTATCACAAAATTATTTGGACAGTATAAATAGTTCAAATTTTAAAATTCAAATCTACCAATTTTAGGTCAAGAATATTTGATGCCATTTTGTTTCTATCTAATTATCTAGTATATAGTATGATATGGTGTTGATACTATACGATTATTTATATTATAATTTAATAATTTTCATTTAAAATAAAATAAAAATTCTTAGTTTTTATTTTAACAGATCATATAGTACGATTAATGGAAACAATTAAAATAGTTCTTTCACACTCTCTCTTACGTGTGTGCATAATTGCTAAGCTAATATACACATTTTATAATACATTGACTCAAGAAAAATAAAAATATAACTCTTGCAAAATTTAATCCTATACTAATCAATCTTGAGCCTTGATCCTTAGGCGGTGCTTAGTGTATGTTGTACCTAGAATGTTAATTACGTTAGTACACATAGAAAAGACATGTATTAATAATAAGTAGAAGAAACTAAGTAAACTCCAATAATATTTGTTATCATTAAAACATAAGCTCAGGCCCCTTGAATGCAACACATCTAACACCTCATATGTAATTCACTATATATTCCAAATATTTGTACACATTTTTCAAGTGGATATAAGCATATAATCTTCAAATTTTAGAGCATAAAAATTTAAAATATTCTATTTTTGATTAGGGTAATTCTCTTTCCTACTTACATCTCTCATTAAAAGAGGACTTAATTTTTTTTTTGGGTTAAATTTATATAAAGATGATAAGCCACTCAGACTAGGTTCCATGTGCAATTATTAATTGATTAAATAAATGTAACCAAGGAAAATTTCCTAAAATTTAATGGTATGTTATCAAATATGGGAGCTTGGGTGATGAAATGACCTTCCATCGTGCTATGGTTTCTAGTGTATACCATTACAGGATCTACTTTAGGAGGCCACTTTGATACCAATTGAAAGCAATTAGCAACACCTAAGAAGCAAGGTGAATTGGTATTTTTAACTTACCATAGTATTTTTAACTTGAATATTAAAATAAAATGTAAAAAGTAAAGTATAATTTTGCTTGTTGTCTTAGGTCCTTGAATCTTCTTTTTGGATTTGGCATCTTGTGCCACATAAACAAGCCTTATGATGTATTCTGTAAATGAGATTTTTTTTATCTCTAGAAATCACTATTTTTTTTCAAAAGTGTTATTACCTATCAAATATTGCTAGAAGCGGCTAGTTCCAAGCCTTTGCTTTGAAATATTATGACTAAGGGGGTTATGTTAGGAGAATTATGCTTCTCTCTTGTAGCACAGTGCTAAGTGTCTCCAATGCATATTAAGGAGAACTTATGTAGAAGGTTTTGCACTTGTGATTTTGAAGGGGAGATGGTGAAAATATTGATAGAAGAACTATATGAGTAAACATAGGCCTTAAGGTTAAACCTTTATAAGTAGATTTAAATTGTCTACTTTTATTTAAGAGTTCAATCTATACTTTATTTTCTTGAAATTAAAATGTCTTTTGATTTGATCTTCATAATTAATTTTGTTCATCACAAAGATTCTTTTAATATCTAATTAAATAAATTCATTTCAAAAATATTTTTAAATAAACCAATCAAATCAACCCCCCACCCCCAATCAAAAATTGTGTTATTGGTTTTAAGCAGTGCTAGAGTGATGGCTTTTTATTTTAAGACTTCATGATGTAATAGTATATCCTAATGTCACATATTGGAACTAACGACATGTTTGAGGAATATTACATTCTCATCATTTATCATTTGATAATATTATCATTTTAATTTTAGAAAACGTGCATGTCTATATTTATTCAATCGAGAACCTCAAACAAAGGGAGACTTTATTTGCATGGATGACCAAGTATTGGGGGAGGTGTTCTAAGGTTGAAGGAGGATTTTTAATGAGTGCTAGAATTTGAGAATGAGTTTGGAAGGCGATGGAGGAGCCCAAATTTGCGAGCTTATAGGTCTTACTGTTTAAGAAAGTTGTAAAATTGAGTGATGGGCATTTTTAGTTTTGTATAAGAGGATGGAGAAATATACAAGTGATTTCTTATAAATGTTTGAGACGTGTTAATTAGAAGGTAGATATAAAACAAAGAAATACATAGATAACAAAAAATTAATACTTACTAAAGGATTAAAGTCGGTTGTAGCTTTCAACCTCATGAACAAGACCCTATATATAATTCAAGAAAGGTGTTTGTTTATAGAATTCTTACACTTTTAGAACTATCACAACACACATAAAAATTCATATTTCATATCAGGCAAGAGAGGTACCTGGTAGTACCAAGTGGTGGAGGTGGAGGGTGACATGAGGTTTTATTTTATGAGGTTGATGGTTGTTGGACCCTCATGCATCTGAGTTGGCTTCCATTGAACATCCGTTTGCATGGGAGTTGAATTAAACACGTGTCATTCACTTGGAATGATCAATAGCATGATCTTCATCATAGAAATGTCTAACAAATGGTCATGCCTTTCATGTTCTATGCACATGTATGATTTATGATATCCTAATTAACTATTAACTATTAAAGAAATTCAAATATTATAATTAACTAGCCACTATGAATTAATATTAATTGTTTAATTTGCCAAATTTCATTATACACATGATAATATTAATAAAAAGAATAAATTAAATAACAAAATGTGGCTTGGAGTGCCACTAGTGACATTGCATCATTTTTTTCTCTCAACAAGTATAACACATCCAAATAAATGGGGAACTTTGAGTTTATATGCACCATTATGTACAAATTGGAGAAACATGCCTCTTATTTTATTTCTTAGAAAATATGCTCAAAAGTATTTTGGACAAAAAATACCCTCACTTTTGATTATAAATTACTTATTTTTTAAGTTAATCGTTACCAACATTGCAAATTAGCATCGAATAAAGTTTGAATAAGGTTAAGATCATATAAAATAAAAAGATTGATTCATGATTGAACATTATTTAAACCTTAATAAAATAATAATTGACCTTTTCAAAAAGTTTTTTGATCTAAGTTAAAATATAGTTCAAACAACTTCTTAAAATACATTCTTCAAAAAGCTTTATAAAATAGTTAAAACTTCTTCAAGCACTTAATTGACCTTAGTCATTTGCTAGTTTTAGGTTAATCACAAATTGAGGTGACATCTCCAATAAATGCTTTAAGATTGAAGCATCTAATGGAACCACTATCACTTACATTCTATACATCCACATTATCATATATTTTTACATTTGGAATGTCCATTTCATCACGTACACTAATGATATATGATAAAATTACTGATATTGCATCAGTTTCATTCGCACAACCTAAAAATCTTCTTAGGACTAACAACCACACATATGGAGACTAATGTTTAAGGGATAAGGATATCCCATCTAAGAAAACTCAATTAAAGGAATTGTTGGTGCTTCATCAAAGTGTTAAATCACCTCGAGCTATAAATTATATGTACTCTTATAAACCTCTATCAATTTGTATATAAGATCAATGAGACCGCTAAATAAAAGATTTCTCTATGATATCAATTATTTATTTATTTTTTTTTTTTTTAATTTCCAACTTGTTTGTATGCATTCTTTTCATTCTTTTTGAAATAAAATAGAAATGTTGGTGCTTGATTTACATATTTAAAAGACATTGTTAGAACAAAACTTCCCTATTCTTCGAATCATATTCAATCTTGAATTAAATCATATTCAAACATATGTGAAAATGAATCGAACAATGATCAAACATATTCAATCTACAATCAAATAATGTAACATCATTGCTATTTAAATTTATTTTGAACATGAATTGAAGTATATTTGAACATGTTTGAAAATAAAATGAATGATGAAAATCCATGATCGAAAATACTCAATCAAGATATGATCGTATCATATTCATAGCTAGTTGAAACTTCTGCCTATTTAAGATGTCACCATACTTTATTATTAAATAATATTCTAATATCGTTTGAGTAATGATCAAACAACATAGTCTTTGACATATTTGAATTATATTCGATCATAGTTCAAACAAGGTCCAAATATAGATCATTCACTTATTTTAATAAATATTAAGAAAAAAAACTCTTTGCTCTATATATGCTTTATATTTTCGTCAAAAATCTCAAATATACTAAATAGAATGGAAACATACAAAAAATAGTACTCGTGCATGTTAAGTCATGGAAAAATGAATGAATATCCAACTCATTTTTAGGGTTCCTCCACAGTGAAGATATATGGATGAAGGTACAATGAAAACAATAATGGAGAAAGTTGAAGTTGCGAGGGAAGGAAAACATTTCTCTTGTATAGTAAGATATAAATATAGCATGAAGTATTTTATAGAAGTTTTGATCTAAAATGGTGTTTGGAGCATATTTATCTAAGAAATGAAATATCACATATATTTTTCTATTTTTAAGAATTTTGAGTCACATAAACTCAAAATTCTCAATTAAATTATGATTAAAATTAGAAAAAATGTTGAAAAAAAGGAGAAATTAGATAAAAAAAGATGAATGGTTTGAAAAAGAAACCTTAATAGGAAATACAAAATAAAAATTTATTATCATTGTTTCTCTTTTTAATTTTTTGCTGTAAAATTTTTTTAAATCATAGTCAATTTTTTGAGTCAATAAATTCATGCATAAAAATAGTATTTGAAATGAAAGAATAATACAAAAGAAAAGAAATTCAATTGATATTTATAATTAAAAATGTGTAAGTATTAATTTAATTTTTTTTATTATTTATAATTTTCAAAAACCGAGAGTCCAACCATAGCCAAAGAGCAGGAATAAGATATTAATTATGATTAAAAAAATTGACTGCTTGAATAGTTAGAAATTAATATCTTAATAAATATTAAAATGCATGTGCGGAAGTTGGAACCCACGCGCTGGCTGGAAGGTCAGGAAGACGTTCTGGGGATAATAACGGAGACCCGTTTCTATCCTCTTCTGGAATTCTTCTTTAAAGATTTCCGGGCCGCCGGAGGGGGCTCCTGGAGCAAGTGCATCGCGGCCGAAGCTTGGCCGTCATAGCTGTCAGAGTTTCTCAAGTTAGCCGGAGCTGCCTTATTCTCTTCCTCTTTTTTTTTTTTCTTCTTCTTGCTATTCCGCTGTCTATCGCTTCTTTACCTGAGGAAAGATGTCGGAGCTCGCGGCAACGGAGTTATGCGCCTCCGGGCCAGGTGGTGCGAGGACTCTGCAGGTCTGGAGGACGCTGATGAGCTGGTTCGCCTTCGTTTTCCGGATTTTCTGGGAGATCGTGAAGGGGACCCCTTCCTTGGCCCAGGTCCTCTCCTTTCTCGGTGTCCGCCACCCACTGCTATCCTCCTCGCTTGCCTTCAAGCCGTTCCCTGCCGATGCCCCCACTGATACGCCGCCGCCAGCCACGGCGGCGCAGAGTGCCATCCTGGGAAAGCTAATGGTATGTGGTTTTCGTTGTATGACAACCTTCTCCCGTTTTTTGTTGATGTTGATCTAATTTCAGTGAATTGGTCTGTCCTTCGAGGCTTCGTACTGATGCGAAGTAGCAGAGCAATTAAAGTTGGTTTAGAGGATTAGAGTTTGGGGTCATTATGTGATATTCTTCAGACTTGTTATGTGTCATAGTCGTTTATCCACCCATATATACTGGGGATTAAGTGTCTTTGATTTTCTTCTAGAAATTTTCTGTTATGTTGCTTCCTTTCTCGATTTGCAATAACAAAGATTGGAAGAGATCGATGGTAGTAGAGGCGGTAATCGATCTGGAAGTTTAGGGTTTAATCATGGAATTTTGATTGGCACCTTTTTTATTTCGGTGTTTTGGGACGAAATCGAATGATTTGCTTTCCTCCATAGAGTGAGAGGAATGGATTATTTAAAAGGGCCGAAGTGATGTTCTGGATGAAACGGCTTGAATGAATTTGGTGAGCTGATTGGTACGTTTTGCACAGGGACGAGCGAATGATGCACTGAAGTCCACCAATCTGTTTCTACGAACTTCCTTTATTCCCCAACTCAATTCAAGGCCTGTTTGGTTCAATGCTATGCTGGATTCTAAAGTAGACTAGAAGAGGATAACATGTTTGTTTTTTTGGAGGAGGAAGGTGTGTGTGTGTGTGTGTGTTGGCACGGCTATTGAAGATACAGAGCATAACTAAGTAGTCGTTCCACTGCCCCTTGGTCAGTGCAGTCTGCGCGACTGCCATCTCAGGACCTTGATTTTAGAATTGAGAGCAAGCACAAACATAGCATATAAAAAGTTACTAGTGTAAAAATAAAAACCGCCGACACAATCAGAAAAGAAAGCTGTAGCATCATATAAACAAAATAAATACTAGGTCAAAGAGTCAAATGGTTTCAGGGCTATCAGCAAATCAAAAACTGGCACCGGAAAGCTGCTTCCAATAACCACTTGAGAAGCATAGTATTTGTACGTAGTATCTGATCATGTGCCAACTGGCGGTAGGGTTGGGCTTGGCACATCATTGTCTAGTGCCGTACAGATTTACGTTAATAGAGAGGGAAACTTAAGGAGGTGCACTAGAAGGCTACATTTGAAATGAATATCAAAACATTGATTCAAATAAAGACCCCCTTAGTGTTGACAATGTTCATGACTTATGAGTTGCTATGTCATTGTTATTTATTTTTTGAATTCAATGTCAATGAGCAGGGTATTGGGAAAGATAGAATTTTGAGTTGAACTATATTTTATGTTGCTTTATTATTATGATGTTTTGATTTTAATTCTATTTTTCACAATTTATTACTTGTCAATTTATATCTTGTGCATTTTTTTTGTTTCATTTATATGATATTTATTTCTTATGTCAACTTTTAATATATTAATTGGTTTTTATACAAAAAAATCCTCATTTTAAATTTATGCAATTTTTTAGTTTGAGGCTTATGCCTCACCTCACGAATGAAAAATGTCTCAATATCCAATTGCCCAATTATAATCATTGACATTTTATACATGGTTATCATTAGAATTTGATTCATTTGACTAAGCGATTGGTAAATATTCATTTAACGATTGTTCGATTTTAGATTCAAATTGGAGAGATAAAGACTTGCGATGAAGGATTATTCATTTTATTAAACAATTTGAAACTTAAATTAGAGAGAGTAAGAGGCTTAGGAGATTTCTCCTTGCCATTAAAAGGGATAACTGTTTAACTTTTGGAGTTGTTTCTTTTTTTCTTTTCCCTTCATCATTAGAACTCTCTTTTTATGAAGTTTTAGTAGTGATGGACCCTTTCTATCCATTAAGTTATTTAAAAGAATTTGTAAGGAGTTTTTTTTTAATGGGCTTTTAAGTTCCCTTTAATGACTCTAATGGGGTTTTGAATAATTTGTTTTAAATTTTTAAGAATGATATAAAAATAACAACTTTAAACACTCTACATCTATAAGAATGTCACAAGTATTGCTTTTTTGGCTAGGCATTGCTATTTGATGAAGAAGTTGTGGCTATTGATTCTGATTGCCTCTGACTAGGGATCACTTTCCTATGAATTACCTTAATAGTTCCTTATCCTTGGTTCACTATATATCAGGAAGAGTCATTCTACTAAATTTGCATTCATTCTCAACCTAATCTTTGAAACATAACAGTCTTCTAACACACGAGCCAACATCTTATAGTAAAGCTAATAATTTGACTCACTATTATTATCATTATCTGCTAGTCTTTTAGACTTACAAAGACGAAAGTTCTCATCCTGAACTAGTGAGTTGAAGATTTTTTTGGTTGCGACCCATCTGAAATTGTACTGTTGATTGATTTTTTTTGCCATTTCCCTAGAATCAAGCTTTTTGGTTGCCTTCTATTTGTTCTTGGGCTGCTCTTCTATGATTTGAATTTGTTTATCCTTATCCAAAAATAGTTCTGACACATTGTATTTTCTTTCAACCATTTTTTACACTATTTTCTTGGCCTGGTCATTACTGTTGTTATCTTTGAAAATGGTCAACTTTGCTGCCTTAGATTGTAGGCTGGATGCTTTGCTAAGCAAATGTTTCAAACGTCCTAATAGTAAATTCTTTGAGGTTGAGTGCTTTTAGGCCATGAATACTCCCTTAACAAAATTTCAATGGCATGTTGTTATTTGAATTGTGATTTACATTTTATGCTTAAGTTTCTCCATCTTAAATTGTAATGCATAAATCCCTCATTGGGCCTTTGCTTCTCAACTACTTAATTGCCCACTATGATCTGATGCTGAGCTCCGACAATTTTTTTAATAAACAAAGTTTTTAACTCCATAAATATTTTTACCAAGCCATTTTGTAACTCGGCGTACCAATAAAATGCGACACCAGACAAGATTGTTACAAAATTTCTAATAATAATGAGTTATTGCCACCCACATGGCAACATCCAGCTTTGAAATTAGTCAAATATTGGCATGGTTTTCCGCTCCAAATAAATTAAATGATGGGGGAGTAAAATATTTTTAGTACCGAATCAATTCAAACTCATCTTTTTATGACCTATCTCTCTGGATTGACAGACCTCCCTATGTTTGAGCTATTAATTATTTGATTTGTTAGCTGATGTGATCCTTCAATTCTTCTGTCGAAGGTTGCAGATGCATAGACTTGAGTTTCTTTTTTTACCGACTCCCTATATCTTAATCTATATGAACTATATTTTTTGCTTTCATATTATTCGTAGAAGGTTTTCCTGCTACATTTGGGATCTTTTAGAACCCCAAAAGTCGAGGCATGAGAGTTGTCATGATAGATACTATTTCATGCAATCTTTTCTCTATATTGCTAATTTATTCATTTTTTGCTTTTAGTTGTTGAAGTAAGAGAATGACTTGAGAATTTTCACTCATATCTTCATCATAAACTTCTAATAACTCCTTCATATGAAGATTTCCCAGTGGAAGGAACCTCTCCTACTACATTGAATAATGTAAATATCCTCTTCATCCATGAGATCATCCTTATCAGGATGGTGGCTTTCTATCAATATTCTTTGATTTTTTACCCTCTATCTTCTTTTCCTTGTTTATTTTTTAGAGACTATCCTTCAAGTATTCCATCATTTCTTTAATGATTTTATCTATTGCACGATTGATCTGGGATGAATTATACTCCTGATGGCTACCAATTTTCATTATTCGATTCTCTTTATCTTTTGAATCAATCCAAGGATTGGAGAATGTATTACAGATAAAGCTGTCATATTGGGTTTCCATTTTTCTTCACCCCGGATGAGTATACAATAACAACAAGCTTTTATCCCATTATGTAGGGTCTACTACATAAATCATTTTTCTCTATTGTGTCATGTTAAGAGTCAAATTCTCATATAAATCTAAAAAAGAAAGGTCATTTCTAATATTTTCTAACCAAGTCTTTTTAAGTCTTCCTCTACCTTTTTTAACATAAGTTAAATCTAATACATCTACTTTCCTAACCGGGTCATCGGAAGGCCGTCATTTTATGTGACCAAAACATCTAAGTTGACTCTCTTTAATCTTAACTTCCATTGGAGCTACTCCAACCTTTTCAAGTATATGCTCATTTCGTATGCTGTCTCTAAGAGTAAATTCACTCTTCCACCTGAGCATCCTCATCTCTGCAACACTTAACTTAAAATTGTGCTTCTCTTTTAATGGCCAACATTCTGCACCATAAAGCATTGCAGGCCTCACTACCATCTTATATAATTTTCCCTTAAGTTTGAGAGGGACTTCTATCACATAACAATCCCGATGCATTTATCCACTTCCACCATCCAATTTGAATTCTTCTAATAATATCCCCATCTATTTCACCATCACTCTGAATAATATACCCAAGATATCTAAAATTTGTAGTCTTATTTATGACTTGATCTCCTAAAGTCACTATCCCCCACCAGATCTATTATTACTAAAATTACACTCCATATATTCAATTTCAGATCTACTCAAACGAAAACTTTTAGACTCTAAGGTTGACCTACATAATTCATGTTTACCTTCAAGTCCCTCTCTAGGCTTATCAAAAACAGGATTATTATTAGCAAAAATCATACACTACGGTACAACCTCTTGCAAATGTCTAGTGAGAACATCTATGACTAAAGTAAAAAGATATGGGCTTAAGGCTGAACCTTGATGCAATCTTACTGAAATAGGAAAATATCTAGTCAAACCCCATTGTGTTTGAACACAAGTAAATGCTCCTACTACATATCCTTAATGACTTGAATATAAGCATTATTAACCCCTTCCTTATGTAGAACTCTCCATAGCACTTTTTTTGGAACTTTATCATATACTTTCTCTAAATCAATAAAAATCATATATAGATCCTCTTCATTCTTTCTATACTTCTCCATCAAACCTTTCAATAAATGAATAGCTTTCATATTAGACCTACCTGGCATAAATCCAAATTGATTTTGAGAAATATTAGTGTCACACCACAACCTAT